GGCTTTCAGATTTGGTCTTTGTGTGGACGTTCTGTTTGTTGATGATGAAGTTATTTGTGTTTCTTAGTTCTAATAGTCTGGGCCCTCCGCTGTAGGACTGCTGAGGTCCACTCTCGGCCCTGCTTACCTGGGGATTGCCTGCAGCAGCTGCAAAACAATAAGGGTTGCTACCAGTTTCTTCTTCTGCTATCTTTGTCCCAGAAGGATACCCACCAAATGTCAGTCTGATCTCTCCTTTATGAGGTGACTCTTTGGATATACAGGGGTCAGTGAGCTGCTTGAGGAGACAGTCTGTCCTTTATAGGAACTCAAGTGCTGAGCTCCGAGCTCCTTTGTTCATTCAGAGCCTCTGGGCAGGTACGTTTAGGTCTGCTGCAGCAGAACCTATAAACCGCTTTTTGTTCCCAGATTCTCTGTCCCAGGGAGTTAGGGCTTTATTTATGAGTTTCCATTGTGCTGCTGCCTTTTTTTTTTTTTCAGGGCTGCCCTACCCAGCATGGAGGCAGCCTGGTCACTGTCTGCCTGCAGAGGCTTTGCTGAGCTGCTGTTGGCTCCGCCCAGCTGCCATGTGAACTTCCCTGCAGTATTGTTTATATGGGTCTAGTTAGAACTGCCTTGGCAATGGTGGCCCACCTCTGTATTGGCTGACTCTCTCTGTAATGGCAGGTTGCCTTGGCAATGGCAGGCAGCCTCAGCAATGGCAGGTTGCCTTGGTAAGGGCTGGCGGCCTCAGCAATGGCGGACTACCTCCGTAGTGGTGAAGTACCTTGGTAATGGCGGACGCCCCTCCCCCACAAAGCTGGCCCGTCCCGGGTTCAGCTGCGCTTGCTGTGAAACTCTCAATCCAGAGAGTTTTCTGACTGCTATTCTTTTGTGGGGTGGGATCAGCCGAGCCTGATCACCTGGCTCCCTGCCTCAGAGCCTTTTTTTTTTTAGCTGAATAGTCGCCTCTATGCTAGTTGCCTGTTGAAAAGGCACCGGGATATTTGTGATTTCCCATGCAGCGACTCACTGCGCAGGCTTAAACAGCAGTGCTGAGATTCGTGGCGCTTTTTTTGCCCAGGACTCTCCTGGCCTGGCTCCCTGTTCAGTCCGCTCTTTAATGAGATGAATGGGCGACTTCCCCGGTCTCCAATCGCCAGCCAGAAGGACACCTGCACCAGTGTATTTTGTACGGAGAACCTCCGGCCGGGGCGCCAACAAAGCAGCCGCATGGGGCAAAGCAGCCGCGCTGACCAAAAGAACCATGCCGGCCAAAACAGCCGTGCTGGTGACCTGTGGGGCTCCTCCGCCTGAGAATCTCCTGGTCCGTGGGGAATAAAATGCAGCTTCCACTCACCCTCTGTGCTTTCACTGGGAGCTGCAACTCTGAGCTGTTCCTAAAGGCCATCTTGGATCTCGTGCTTGCCATCAGTATCTTAATGAAGGACTTGGCAGATAAAGTTGCTCTTGTTGATGTCATGGAAGACAAATTGGAGAGAGAGATGATGGATCTCCAACATGGCAGCCTTTTCCTTAGAACATCAAATATTGTTTCTAGCAAAGACTATAATGTAACTGCAAACTCCAAGCTGGTCGTTATCATGGCTGGAGCACATTAGCAAGAGATAGAAAGCTGTCTTAATTTGGACCAACGTAACGTGAACATCTATAAATTCATCATTCCTAATGTTGTAAAATACCGAACTGCAAGTTGCTTATTGTTTCAAATCTAGTAGATATCTTGACCTGTGTGGCTTGGAAGATAAGTGGCTTTCCCAAAAACTGTTTTATTGGAAGTGGTTGCAATCTGGATTCAGCCCGATTCCATTACCTGATGGGGAAAGGCTGAGAGTTCACCCATTAAGCTGTCATGGGTGTGTCCTTGGGGAACATGGAGATTCCAGTGTGCCTGTATGGAATCGAGTGAATGTTGGTTGCTGGTGTCTCCCTGAAGACTCTGCACCAAGATTTAGGGACTGATAAGGAACAGTAGAAAGAGGTTCACAAGCAGGTGATTGAGAGTTCTTACGAGGCGATCAAACTCAAAAGCTACACATCCTGGGCCATTGAACTGTCTGTGGCAGATTTGGCAGAGATTATAACGAAGAATCTTAGGTGGGTGCACCCAATTTCCATCAGGATTAAGGGTCTCTATGGAATAAAGGATGATGTCTTCCTTAATGTTCCTTGCATTTTGGGACAGAATGGAATCTCAGACGTTTTGAAGGTGATTCTGACTCCTGAGGAAGAGGCCAGTTTGAAGAAGAGTGCCGATACTCTTTGGAGGATCCAAAAAGAGCTGCAATTTTAAAGTCTTCTGATGTCATACCATTTCACTGTCTAGGCTACAACAGGATTTTAGTTAGAGGTTGTGCATATTGTTCTTTTTATCTGATCTGTGATTAAAGCAGTAATATTTTAAGTTGGAGTGGAAAAAACATCAATTCCAGAAGTTAGAAATAGGAATGTTTTATAGAGTCCTACAGCTATATCCTGATGCTAGATGACACTAATCTTGTGTAGTCCTAAACTGGTTAGTGTGAAATAGTTCTGCCACTTCTGAGGCACCACTGCCAATGCTGCACATGCTGTAGTTGCCCCTTGAGCCAGATGGATGTTTATCGTGTGTTATGTAACTTCCTGGCTCCTTCACTGAACATGTCTAGTCCAACATTTTTTCCCAATAAGTCACATCCTGGCATTCAGTGTATAGATCCAATATTGCATGTCTTGTGCATAATTGTTCCACAGGATCTTATTTTGTGAACGATACAGATATGAGTAGTGTACATTATCCTATAATTTAAAAAGATCTACATATAAACAATGCAACCAACCATCCAAGTGTTACACCAACTAAAACCCCCAATAAACCTTGAACAATGAAAAAAAAAAGATTTCATCTTGTCTTGATTTCCTCACCTGCAGGATAAGGAAACTGTTGAATAAGCTTTGTGGGGCTATCTGTCTCTACTATGCTGCAGTATGCTTTGGGGAGTCCCATTACTTTATAATTGCCCACCCATTTCCATTCTCTACCCCTCCAACTCAGTCTGTGATGGTTGTTGGATTATTCTTCATAATATAGAACCCTAATCACATTGAGCATCTGTTCAGGAATGGAAAATAATAAAATATTAATAGCTTTCTGTATGCAATGGGTGTTTTGTTAGTTACCATTTATTAAAAGCTGATTAAATAAATTCTACTTGCTAAACAAAAATTTATTGATACATTTTTATGTCTGGTACATTTTGGCAGCTAAAGATAGTGAATTGATTCAGTATTTATGCATATCACACTAGTAGGGAAATTAAAATTTTATAATTTTGTATTTAATCTTCTTAGCTGATATATATATGTGCATATATGTATATGCATATACACACATATATATGTCATGTATGTATGCTTACCTTTCTGATATTAATTTCCTTATATAGAAAGTGGATCCTCCAGGCATAATGCATTCTCAGAATTCCCAAAACCTCTTTGTCATTGCCAACCTGGAATGACTTTCCTCCCTTTATCATGTCTATTTATCTTTCAATATACAGCTTAGATATTAGATAGCAAGTCTTCCTTTCTCAACATCTTCCTTCTAATTTTGTTGAACATTACGTTTTAACCTTGAACTATAATTTACTTAGGTTCACATTTTCGCCTCCATGAGACTGCTACATTTTGCTGGCAGGAAGTAATTTAAAAACATAAACTTTTGAGTCAAATAGACCAGACTCTGTCATTTACCAGTTATGCCTGCTTATGCAAGTTACTCCCTTTCTCTAAGTCTTGGTTTTCTCATCTGCAAAATGGGGATGTTAGTAATGACTTCTTATAGGGTAACAGTAACAATTAAAGAAGACAATGTTTGTAACATACTTAGTACCATGCTTGTCACGTTGGTAAGTGTTCAATAAATTCAAGGCATTTTTAATAACACCATTGTTTTATTATATAATTTTAATTATATTAACAATCCCTTTTACCCTGTGAACTCTTAGAAATCACTCAATGTTTTGGATGTAGCAAGTGTTTAATACTTATATTTAGGAGAACTTTAATGAATGTTGTTGAATAAAGGCTTATAGGAATTCAGAAAAGGGAATGATTAGTTCTGATTATTGAATTAAGGAAGACTTTATTGGAGTTGGCATTTGAACTTTTATGTCTGAATTATGATTTGACAGAAATGAGCAACGAAAAAACATTGGAAGCCAATGATATGCAATTTCAGAGAGAAGTGTTAGCTAAGTTTTACGTTAATAAAAAAACCTTAGTTCAAGCTCTTTATTCTTGATGGATTGGTTTGTTTTATAAATGCATTTAAAGTGTTGGCATAGTAAGAATATAGTAAATATTAGCCGGTGTTTTAACAACCCATATATAGACTACATGTTAAATAACAAAAACTCACCTTGTACCTATAGTACATATGTGTCTTTCACAGTAGCTTGAGGGAGTTCTGTATGACAACATTTCGTTAATATTTTTGTTTGCAGTACTTGTTTAAAAGTAACAAAACATTTATTTTAAATATTGTTTATTTCAGCTATGTATTATTCTTCCTGTTTGTTCGAATTAGTGAGACAATATTTTGCAAATGGCTTTAAATTGTCAGATGTTAAGGATTATCATGCCATTGTCCCACTGGTGTAGCTAAATTTGAGAGAAGTCTATATAAGTAACAGCTTACAACAGCTGCAATTGCTTGATATGTGAAAACAATCAAGGGATATATATTATGTGAAATTCAAGGTCGCTTTATTTTAATTAAACATGTCTTGAATTATAGTATGTTCCATAACAATGTAACTAAGATTTTTTTCTGTCATACTCTTTTTAACTTTTTATTTTAATATCCTTTCCAGACATATGAAAGTTACAATAATAGTACAACAATTCTAATATACCTTTTTTTTTTTATTTGAGACTGAGTCACCCAGGTTGGAGTGCAGTGGCATGATCTCTGCTCACTGCAACCTTTGCCACCTGGGTTCAAGTGATTCTCTTATCTCAGCCTCCCAAGTAGCTGGGATTACAGGAACCTACCACCGCAACTGGCTAATTTTTGTAGTTTTACTAGAAACAGGGTTTCACCATCTTGGCCAGGATGGTCTTGAACTCCTGACCTCGTGGTCCACCCACCTCGGCCTCCCAAAGTGCTGGGATTACAGGTGACAGCCATGGCACCTGGCCTCTAATATACCTTTTATCCAGATTCCTCAATGTTAACATTTTGACATCTTTACCTTATTTCTGTCCCTTTGTCACCCATACATACTCATTCTTTCTCTGAACTATGTGAGATAGTTACAGACATGACAGCCATCATTTACTCCTAAATGTCAGAGTGAGGTTCTTAAAAATAAGAAAAAATAAAAACATTTTCTTAAATAACCAAAAAACAATTATCAAATTAACAAGTTAAGATTGATGCAATATTATTTCCTATTCTACAGGCCTTATTTAGATTTTGCCATTTGTCCCAATAGTGTCCTTTATAGGAACAAAAAAATTCCATATTTATGTTTTGCATGTAGTTGTCACATCTCTGGTTCTCTTTTAATCTGGAACACTTCCTCAGTCTTGCTTTGTCTTTCTTGACCTTAACATTGTTGAAGAACACAGACCAGTTATTTTGCAGAATGTCCCTCATCTTGGATTTGTCTGGTGTTTTCTGATTATTAGAATCAGGTGATATACTTGGAGCAGGAATAGCATAGAAGTGATTTTTCTAAGTGCATCATGTCATGAGGACAACATTTGTAAAACATAAATTTTGGAAATTTGGAAAAGAAACAGTTTTATAATTTTTTAAAATGTTTGCAAACATATATTTCTCAATTCTTTTATTTTTAACATTTTTCATTTTTTAGCCAATCAATAAAATATTAAGTATGAAATAATACTTTCCCTGTAAGATTCTCTAACAAATTATTGGTTTGTCAAGTATATTTATTGTTAAATGAAGGTAAATATAGAAAGACATTCTTTTTTT